GGCTGCTTGCTTTGAAAACCAAGCGTTTCCTTTGAGTGTGAAAATCATTTCCGTTTTTTCAGGTTGCATCCTGCGAATATATCAGCCCTGATGCAAAGTTTTGTAACACAACTTCATTTCTGTAACCGAAATAACATCTGGGCTGCCATCCAAGCAGTAAAGTTTTGACTCTGTCTGCGTGGGGCAGATGCCAGGAACTGTGATGGTCATGCCAGGAAAAGAAACAGAACACACGCTTTTTTAACATTTTGAAACTAGGCTGTCTGCAGTAGGTCTGGGCTGCAAAATGAGTGTTGTTGTCAGAAAGCTATTCATTACCATCCACACCCTCCTTCCCCTGGGATACACAGTCCTTCAGTGGTAGGGCAGCCGAGGCAGGAGACCTTGTTTTCAATAAGTGTGCCCTGAGTTGGCTGCAAACCAATTATCTCTTGTCGTGTAGAACAGAGCATGTAGATGCATGCTAATAGCCCTGTAAACTGGAGAACAGCCAGGTCAGAGAGCAGCTGTCTTGCATGGAGGAGCTCTTTGACTTTGAACATGTTGTTTAGTGAAGAATGGACAGCAAATAAAAAATGAAGCCACTCAGACTCTTTGGGACTGTATGCACTGAAAGTAAGCATTAAGCCGTATGAAGCGCCAGCAGTTGAATGCTAGAAAGAGGTGCCTTGACCATTAAATCCCATTCAGGGCTCTTAGTCTTTGCCCATGCCCAGCATATTTTGTAGAATCCAAAACAGGCTGAATATAAATACTTAGAATATCTGTTCCTTGTTTGCTTTTCTTTGTAAGCAATCTTTTTATTTTCACTTCTAGAAACAGTCATTGGATAACAAGAGAGTTATAGACAGATGGAAGAGGGGAAAAGTAACATATGCTTCAGGATCTTTTCACTTGGGGATCAGAATCAAGTCTTTGTGGGAAAAGGTAGACTTGAAGGTATATTATAACAGCAGATATATGGAGCTTGCAGATCATGGGGAAAAGGAGGAGAGCAATGCCCTTTTTGCCAGCTGGACAGTGTCCCAAGGCATCCAACTGGCATCAGTGACAGACACAATACAGGTAGTCCCCAGGTTAAGAACACCAGTTTAAGGACAGCCCATATGGAGCCTATTTTAGCAAAATTCAAGTTAAATGCGTAATGGTTCAATTTCATTACACAATACTACTTATACAGTATTATGCAATATTACTGTTCCAGCTTATATACACATTCAACTTAAGGACAGACCTTGGGAACGGAACTCGTTCTTAAATGTATTTAAATGAGATAGGCTGGTGAGTTGATGTGTCAAGGGAGCCTTGCATCTGGCATCTCCCCAACTCTGTCCGGTCTGATGATAAAATCAAATCAAGGACTGGAGGGGCGAGCACTTCATTCTAGTCCACGCGGATACATCCCTAAAGATAAGCATGAGGTACTTTTCTGGGCCTGAATATTGAGTTTAGCTATTAGAAGCATATAGGTGATTATCTGCTTATGCGATTATCTCTAGGGCAGGTATAGTTCCTGGGAAAGGTTCTGTCACAACCATAAATCCTTCACAGCCTCCTCATTTCAAGCCATGATTATCCCTTATCAAGCAGTTCTGCATCTGCTCGTGCTCAGATGTGGAGGTCAGTTCCAAAACAGGCAGGTTTGTCTAGCACAGTGTTTCTCAACCTTGGGAACTTTAAGATGTGTGGACATCAACTCCCAGAATTCCCCAGCCAGCTTTGAGAAGGTTGAGAAACACTGGTCTAGCAGGTAGAAACTAAGTCTACGGCATACATGTTAAGTCTACCAGCAGTAGTGCAGATTCAAATCCATCCTTGAAGTCTGTAGAAACGCTCTTGGGTTGGGCCAATCATACTCTTTCAGCTAATCCTACCTCGTAAGATTGCTGTTGGGATAAAAAGCTGTAAATCTGACTTCCTGGATGGAAGTTGGGATATAAATCTAACAAATAAAGAGATATTTTGGTGCATGTTTTTTTTGTTGTTTTGCAGATAATTCAAAAGCCACCTAATTACAATACCAATATTTGTAAGTGTTCAATAAAAACTCTGTTGGAATGGTAATTTCCCATTTAGATGTTTAATATGTTTTATTGATATAGTCTTGATGCATACAAGTGAGTTATTGCTTTTCCTAAACACATGCAAAAATGAAGCTGAGACAAAACATGTTAAACTAGTAATTAAACACCAAATCAGCTGCTTCTACCAGTCTTGTCAGAAGAGCAAAGTACGGCAATAAAAATTCACATTCTCTTTTTCCTATATGGATTATTAACAGTCTGTCTAAATAGCTTTGGTGTTACAAACTGCTTGCTGATTAGAACTGGCATTCCAAAAGGGAATAGCATGTGAAATTTTTAATGTGATACTTACAATGACCCCATTTCCCTATGTTACTATGGTATTCCTAGACCTAGCGGTAACGCAATTATTTAAGAATATTTTGCTTAAGAGGATTTCTGTCTTTAAAACTGAGTTTCAGATTACATTTGTTTTAAGGCAAGGATCCAAGCAAGGATAAAGACATCTCAGGTTGTATAGCAGGATTTTGTGCACACTCTTTGGCCTCTATTGTCAAATTACTATTTTCAGGTTGATCAGTAGGCATGTGCCTTTCCATCATCTTTAATTCCTTGTATGCTCCTTTACAATTTTATGTGTAGATTATGCATTCATTTATAGAATCTCATTAGTACTGCTCAGACATGCACATTAGGGCAACTGGAATTGGGATGACCTTTGGAATGGTGTGGGAGATGTTCTGGAGAAGTCCTCTTTCAGAGTCCATCTCCTTTGTAAGGAGGTTTAGGAGCAAACTTAGACTTCTAGGCTACAGGTAGTCCTCAGGTTAAGAACGCCTGGTTTACAGACGACCCATAGTTAAGAACAGAGCCTATTGTAGCAAAATTCAAATTAAATATACAGTGATTCAAGTTAAATACACAATGGTTTGAGTTAATTATGCAATACTACTTATAATACAATAATAGTGTTCTGGCTAACATACAAATTCGACAAGGACAGACCATGGGAACAGAACTAGTTCTTAACAAGAAGAACACAGGTAGTCCTCATTTAGTGACCACAATTGGGACTAGCAACAGTATTAAGCATAGTGGTTGCTAAGTGAAACTGCAGCTGTGTTTATAATCTGACTTCAACTTTCCTTCACTTTATAGACCTGTGAAAGTCATAAATGTGAGGATTGGTTGTAAAGTTACTTTTTCATCACCTTTGTAACTGCGAATGGTTGCTAAATGAGGCAGTCACTAAATGAGAATTGCCTGTAGCACAGAGAGGATTCTGCATTGTAGGGGGTTTTTTGCTCAGGTAAGCACAGGGAAACAGAAAAGCAGTTTTCTGATTCCCAGTATAGAGCAGGTTGTTTTGTTCAGGGTTCAGCAGCTGCAAAATTAGACAGGACATTCTGGTTAGTCATTCCTGACTCAGCTTCATCTCCAAGGTACCCTGCTTGAGCCATGCAGCTGCATTTAGAAAACAACCAGGCTTCAGAGCAGAACTTGTTGTTTATCATATGTAGGGTCTCCTCTTCCTATTATAAAGTAAAATTCATTCATGCATTGCTAACACAGATTGTCATACTTCTGTGCTTTGTCCCTTCACAAAAGTGTAACATGCTATTATGGGTGGAAAATGCAATACAAAAGGTCAACTGGAATTCATATTTCTGTAATTTGATGGAAGTTTTTAAGGGGAAATCTCTGGTGAGAAAAGAGGGCTATAACTGACAAGGTTTGTATGTGTTTGTGTGGGTCTTGTACTTATATGAACATGGTAACTTCTCAACTCTTCCTTGAATGGGTCAGTAATAAGACCTTTTCCTTTTCCACTTCCTCTATGATCCAGAATTGATTTTTGAATCAGCGTGGACAATGGGAGGTGCTGTGAGTGCCGGAGAAGACAATGATGAGTTAATTGATAATCTGAAGGAGGCTCAGTACATTCGAACGGAGCTGGTAGAACAGGCCTTCAGGGCTGTTGACAGGGCAGATTATTACCTTGAGGAGTTCAAGGAGAATGCTTATAAAGATTTGGCTTGGAAACATGGGAACATTCATCTCTCTGCTCCCTGCATTTACTCTGAAGTTATGGAAGCTTTGGATCTTCAGCCTGGGCTTTCCTTCTTGAACCTAGGAAGTGGCACTGGTTACTTGAGCTCCATGGTTGGGCTCATCTTGGGTAAGTGATCCTTTACTTTGTCAGATTAACCCTGTAAATCCTGCTTCTTGCCTCATGAAAGCAAAATACGTTTTTCTGAATGTTAATAATAGAGTGGGCACCTGCAGGATGCAAATATTATTGCTTATTTCCACAAAACACTGCTTTCACACAAGGAGTGTTTCTGCCAAATCAAATGATGAATATGCTTCTGTTGCATATGTACTGGGAGACATGGAAGATTGTGGGGGATTGCGGTTATTCTGCATCTGTTCCATATTCCTGTGGGCCACCACTTTATTTCTGCCTAGCTTCAGTTGTGAATTTAAACCAGGAACTATTCTAGCATGAACACCAGTAGTTGTGTGACCTTCCACCCACTTTGGAATAAAATGAAGATTCAGCACTGTGTTGGATTAGTGTCCTGCAGGCAAGCTGTTAACTTGCTGTATTTTATAGCTCTCTAAACTCACTGTAAAAGTATTTTATAGCTCCGGTCCTCTTCCTGTGAGAGGCAAGGGGGTGGATTCAAGCTGGGAAAGGTTGCTAGACGTTTCTTTTTCCCCAGTCAGAATTGGCTGCAGGTCCCCAAAATAGCAAGGAATATTGGAGCAGATTTCCTGGCTGGGCTGAGACTGAGGTCCTCTGCCCCCATATCCTGCCCCTAAAGTGGAAGCAGTAAGGTAAAGTGAGCAGGGATTGTATAGGTACAAACACAAAGGAGTTTTCTTTCTTTTCAGTGCTGCTTTGCTTCAGCATGCTTTCCTCCCTCTGTTTCTTTGTTTGTTGGTTTATTTGTTGGTTTAAAATACTTGCTTTTTTGTGTAGATCTAGGCCTCCTATAGCTTGGTTCAGCTGTCTCATTGTGTTGCACTTAATAACATTTTAGGCATTATTACAGCAGCATTGGGTTTGTATTCACACCATTAATTCCAAAACCACTCAGACCTGGTTACCCTGGGTTAAAGAGGGGAACCCAAACATTTATTTTAAAAGTTTAGTTCTTGAGAAGGAAGTAGTCCTGTTCTGCCCCATGCAGACTCCAGATGAACAAGGAAATGGGGTGTACGCTTGCTGCTCCAGAATAAGTGGGAACAATTTAGCTACCAGGCCCTAATGGAACTCCTTCACCTGTGGATACAAGTGTACCCAGAAGCTCCGGAGCTCAGGTTAGAGGGGTGGGAAGGGGGAAGTCCCAGGAAGGGGTCTCTGTGTTATGTCTTTCTGACCAATACCTTCCTACAAACACTGGTCAAGCTCTTGATACCTTTCTTTGTCTTTCAGTCTTTCAGTTTATAAAACTAGGATGATGCGTCATTCACTTTAAAATCATAAAAATTAAACAAATTAGACAACAGTAAATCACACAAGCATTTAAAGCTTCAAGAGTGGGCTTCTTTCCTTTTCTAGGCAGAAATAGTTTTGGTTCCGCATAGGTTTTTTAACGTTGTGACTGTAGCACTGCCTTGTTTAATTAATATTTCACCCCTTTTCTTTTTCTAAAGCATTTAAATGGTACTCCTTTTATCTTCATAACAGCCTTATTGGTCTCTCTTTTATTTGGGGGGCTGGTGAATACTTTTGGAAGTTTATAAAAGTTGCGGGCACCCTCATAAAATGGCTTCTTTTATGGGCAGGGCTGTGAATAAAAACAGCCCTTGTTTCACCAAATGGCAAACTGGTGGTACTAAAAGATAAGCGTTTGTCTAAAACAGTGTTTCTCAACCTTAGCAACTTTAAAAATATTCCCAGAGATCTCCAGCCCCTGACATCTTAAAGTTGCTAAGGTTGAGAAGCAGTGGTCTAAAAAGCCAAATACAAGGCAAAGGTGGGGTGTGAACACCAGTATACTTCCCATTTTAACTTACATTTTCTCTCTTATTCAAGGTACCCCCATCCCCAACTCTTGCTCCACACTTTCATTCTGTTGTGTGCTACTTTTGGAGAGTTTTCCAAAAGGCAGCACAGAAATACAATCAAAAGAGGCTGTGGATTCCAAACTGCTGAATGTTTTTTTCGGAATCCAGATCCATGCTTAAGAAATGGCTATTCCCATTGCAGCTACTGTACTGCAATGGCATGAAGGTATCTGAAATAATCTCAGTGTAATCTTTTTAGGCTAACTTGGTTTGTATCTGTTTCTAGAGGTATTGTGTGAATATAAATGTATGGTATACATGCATGTTTTTATGGTATAAGTTCCTGCAACAGGCTAGGCTAGGCTAGAATGAGGTTCTCTGTGTTGCAGAAGTACAGCCATTTTCTTAGTTCATTGTGAAAATGAGGGAATCGCAGCCGTTGTGTTATCATGGTGCATGGATATCTTATTTAATTTCCCTGAAACATCTGAACAGATGTTCATTCTGGAGATTCAAGATGTTATCCTGGTATGTTCTGAAAAGTTAATGAGCTGGATTTTGGATTGTTAGATGGACTCCCCTAATTTACTGTCTTCTGCAGAGAAAAATTGCAGTAATTCCTTGCCTGAAGCATTTAATTGTTGTTTTGCTTCACTTTGTATGTCAGCACAGCATATTAAAACAGGTCTGGGATGACCTGTTGGTCCTCCCTGCCCCACAGATACCTGCAGAAGTTGTTATGAAAGCCTGCAAATAAAGGCAAATTCAAAACCTAAGAATATTGACTGTGCTGCACCAAGTTTTGGTCTTTCTGTTCAGGGGTAGCAAAGTGAGAAAAACTAAAGAAAGAAAAGCTGTTTCTAAAAGACTAACAATTAGAGGCTATTTACGACTTCTACTTGTGTATAACATCACATCAGTAAACAGTGCTTCAAAAAAGAGTTTCTAAAGGAACTGTAAGGAGCTTTACAAGTATTCTAGGAACCTGAAAATAAGGTGAATACACCAAAAACCTTTGAAAGTCAGTTGCTAAATAGGAGTTTTTAAAAAAATCAAAATTATACTTTCTGCATCTGTTCTTCCCCCCCCCCATGTGACATCTTCCATTTCTTCACTGCTTGATTGTTTCTTCAAAGAATTTTTCTATGTCCTTGTTAGTTACTTTATACTCCTTCCATCCACTACATAGTTCAGTTAAACTAGTAAGTAAAACTAAAGAATTTGTTTATATGTGCTTTTAAATGAGTACCTGCCCATTACGGGCCTTCTGGGGATCCAAAGACAATGAATTGCAGTAACTCTCTCTTAGTTTGTATATCAAGCTGGGAGGAACTTGTTGAACTGTACTTTTCCTGCCTTTTACAACTGTCTCTTTGCATTCCTTCAACATATAGGCCCTTTTGGAATAAATCATGGCGTAGAGCTTCATGCTGATGTTATAGAATATGCAAAGCAGAAACTGGACTTCTTCATCAGAACAAGTGACAGCTTTGACAAGTAAGATCAGAGGATCACTTAATTTGCATTAAAGCAGATTTTCAAGAAAAATCCTACCCTTCAGGTAGTAATTCCTGGTTATAGGATGAAGTGAATCCAAGACATATATAGGTAGTCTTCGTTCAGCGTCCACTCGTTCAGCAACCAAAGTTACGACAGTGCTAAATGGACTTATGACCAGTCCTCCTAGTTGTGGCTGCCACAGCATCCCCACAGTCAGTTGATCACGATTCAAGTGCTTGGCAACCAGCTCACAATTATGACATTGCAGCATCCCGCAGTCATGCGATCACCATTTGCAACCTTCACTGCCAGCTTCCAACAAGCAAAGTCAATGGGGAAGCTGGCAGGAGGTCGCAAATGGCGATCATATGACTGCAGGTTGCTGTGATCATGTGGGATTCACCTAACGACAGCAACTGGAACTGCCACAACTGCTGTCGTAAGTCAACGGATCACGTGTCATCACACTTTATGACCATGTCACTTAGTGATGGAGTTGCCAGTCCCAATTACTGCCGTTAAGTGAGGACTACCTGTATTTTATGCGAGTGAAGATAGCTATGAGCAAATAGAAGGAATTCAAGGAATTTAGGCTGCTGACTAGATTACATACTTTCAGGTTTCTGCAATTTTGAAATTAATAAGCTATTTCTTTCTGAACAAAAAAATGGAAGATTCTTAAGTTTCATAGAGAAGATATGAAAACTTAACAATAAATACATTCCAGAAATGTATCTGAGATTATAAATAATAGTGTGGAAAAGATGTTTTGTACAATTAAAAAGTCTTTGCCCCTTAGAAAATTGACAACTGAGATTCCACTGGCTAAGAAAAGCAAGAAAGGAACAGCCGTATTGCAGAAAAGCATGTTTTCCTGCTGGAAAACCTTCCTTTCCTTTCCTTTCCATCCAAACCTCCTACTCGTGGGCCAGGTCTGTCCCCACCAGCCTCTCTGCATCTGGCCTGCAGAATTTCAAGTGAGATTCTGTCTCCTAAATCTCTGTTGCAGCCTTGCCCTCAGGAACAGCATCCCCCCCTCCCAGAGCTACGCACAGCCCCCACTCTCTTAGGGTCCTGGAAGGCTCTTAAGGCCTGCCTTTGTTCCCAGGCCTGGGGTTAGTGGACCCCCATCGTATGTTTAGTTTTGTTTTTGTGGGTTTTTGTTTTTTTTTTTACTGCTATGGCTGTTATGCTTTGTGGTTATGTTTTTAACTGTTTTAAATTGTATAGGGGATGTTGTCAACTGCTCAGGGTCTTTTGGAGTGGGGCAGCTATAACAAATCTAAGTGATAATAATAGCATCCTAAAGAGAGGTATAGATGAGCATTGCAGCTCATGGGCAGTCCTAGGGCTTTCCAGGCCCAGTCCTCTGGGGCTTCCCCTGCTTTTTCCAGCCGGGAGGAGCAGGGCTGGGTGAAACTGTTTCTCAGGTGCATAGCCTCATACCATGCTGTGGGGCTGCTGTGAAGCCTGCAAGTTGGCAGCAGATGAAGCTTTAGCAAGGGGCTCTGGGAAGAGGTGGTCTGGTTCTCAGGAGGGGAAGTGGGGAATCATCCAATTATGTGGCCATTCTGATGTAAGGACATTAAGGGAATGTCTAATTCCCTTTTCCTTTTCTTAGTTGCCTTAGAAACTCACACTAGCCAGTTTCTAAAAAGAAGCAATAATGATTTTGGAAGGTACCCGTGTTATAGGCCTGCGTGTTTTTCTTAACTTTATACTTTGGAGCTCTTTGATATGCTGGGGAGGTCTGGGAGATGAATGGGTAGAAGAGATGCCTAAGAGAAGGGACCAGTGTGACCTAGAATGTCCTAAGAGAAGGGACCAGTGTGACTCAACATGGGTAAAAGTTCATATTCAAGCCTGCATCATGGAAGTAAGAGCAGCAAAGCAGGTTCATTTCTCTGTTCTTAGTGCAGGTGCAACTAGCCTGCCAGCAACCTTGTTTAAGATTGCCCAATCCCTTTTAGGGAAATCCTAAATCCAGTCTGAAAGTTGTGCTGCTGGGCTGTTGTAAGGAGTTTGCACAATATCTGGAGCATGAATTTGGTCACATTTGCTTGGAGTTGGGCACTGGATGGGCAGGTCCAGTTGAGATGAGAGAGGCTTTCTCTGTCATGGTTATCTGGGATCAGTTTGAGCCTGGGAGAACTGAGGAAATGGACAGGTGGACTAACAGTCAGTGATCAACTGGGAGTTGTAGTCCAAACTATTTGGAGGGTCTCGTGTTACCAGCCCGTAATCTAACCATATGTATGTTGTAAATGCTCTTGGTGTTGAATTCTCATGCTGTGTTGAAGTTTCATTCACAAACCACCTTCCTTCTTCTGAGGTTTGAATTCTGCGAGCCTTCCTTTGTCTCTGGAAACTGCTTAGAAATCTCTCCAGACTGCTCTCAATACGACCGCGTATACTGTGGAGCTGGGGTCCAGAAGGAGCATGAAGATTACATGAAGAACTTGCTGAAAGTTGGTGGGATTCTCGTCATGCCCCTGGAGGAAAAGGTTTGCTTGTGGGATGGGTGCCTTTATTATCTCTGATACCATTTTAGATTCTTGGTGGAGTCTATACATTCCATAAAGAATAGGTTTGATATCCTCTTTGCTAAGAAACAAGTGAATGAGCACCTGGGAAATTAAACAGATTTGAGATGCCTCGGTGATGGAAATTAGGAGGTCTAGAACAGGAGCAAGCCAACTGGGGGGGAGAGGGTTATATGAAGCTGAAATTATTGGATCTTTTGTTTTATAGGAAGGAAGCAATTGTTCAGAATAGGGTTAATTTGAGGTACAGTATAAAGTAGTAGCAATGGTAGAGGGGAGGCTCCTTTATACTAAACTCTAGCTGATGGAGTTGGGAAGAAATAGCTTGGTGAAAAGTGATGGTATAGTGCAGTGTATCTCAACCTCCTCAACTTTAAGATGGGTGGACTTCAATTCCCAGAACTCCCTAGCCAGCATGCTGTCTGGGGAATTCTGGGAGCTGAAGTCCACCCATCTTAAAGTTGCGGAGGTTGAGAAACAATGGTGTAGTGTATAGCCCACTGTTCCCAATCTTAGCAACTTCAGTTATGTGGAGCAACTCCCAGAATTCCCTAGGCAGCATGGCCATTAAGGTTAAGGTTTCTGGGAGCTGAAGTCCATCATGTCCAGTACAACTGCTGGATTTTCGTTTTAGTAAGCACCACATTTGCCAAAAGTGTGAAGTAGAAAAGTGGTGGTGGGGTGTTTTTAAAGGCTGGCTGGTAGCAGACAAGCTTCATCTTCTGTTTTTGTCCTTCAATGCAGCTGACCAAGATTACTCGAACAGGCCCTTCAGCCTGGGAGACCAAGAAAATCTTGGCTGTGTCTTTTGCTCCTCTAATCCAACCCAACCATTCAGATTCAGGGAAGTCAAAACTTGTTCACTTGCGTAAGTCTGCCACATCTGCCTTTAGTTGTTCATTCTTTCCATTTTGAAGATTGGGCAATACTGCTTTTCCCATTGCCTGCCTTGCTGTGGGTTGGATTGTTTGGCTCACCTGGAATGAGGGTCTCCACTCTTTTGACCCTCACCACATCCCAGTGAAGTAGGCTAGGCTGAGCGATAGCGACTGGCCCTCAGTCCCCCAGGGAGCTCCTCAGTGAAGGGAGAACTGGATTCAGAGTCTTACCAGAGCAAGCCTTAACCAGTTTAACCACTAACCATTACACTACACTATCTCCTTGATATATGCAGACCTTCTGGTTGTTCAGGGGATGTCACTATGTCCTGCCTCACTTTGGGAGACGTTGAAGGACTAATCCGCTCTCTACTCTTCCCTGGCACAGATTTCTCCATATTGCCAGCCAGTTCCTTGATCAGATTTCTGCACTTTTTTTGATCAGTTTAGTTTCTCCCCACCCTGACCTGGGCCCGAGTAAAATTTCTTGTGCCGGTGAAGGTTCCCCACGTGTCCCCTTGTCTTCTCTCCCATTTCCAGCACCGGTGATGGTTCGCAGCCTTCAGGACCTGGCTCGCATTGCCATCCGCAGCACCATCAAAAAGCTGATCCATCAAGAAACAGCGGGCAAAAATGGAAACGGCCTCAGAAACCCGCCAAGGTTTAAGCGGCGGCGTGTCCGGCACCGCCGCATGGAAACCATTGTCTTCTTGGACAAAGAGGTCTTTGCAAGCCGGATCTCCAACCCTTTGGAGGATAATAATTGTGAGGAATTGGAGGAGGAGAGCAGGGAGGAGGTGGAAAAACCTATTCCTGAACTGAAGCCAGAGCCTCCTACAAACATCCTGAGGGAGAAGGTGCTGAGCCTGCCTCTCCCTGACCCTTTGAAATATTACCTGCTTTATTATAGAGAGAAATAGGACCTTGTGAGCGGTCATCAGGGAGGTAGGCGGGACAATAAAGCACTCAGGAGGGCTGACAAACACATGCCACTTGCTTGCCTTTTAACCCAACCACCCTTGTGGTGAGCTAACTGGGGAACGCGGCTGCCGTGAATTTAAAATGGGATAGCCTTTTTTCAGATTCTTTCCCTTGATTTGTGCGCTCTGGTTTTGTCCTACAGCAGAACTTCCTTGGTGGGGAAGAGGGGGCGCGAAGCTGGTCCCGAGGCTGCCTCCATCTTAAGGAAGTGAGGGTTTTGTGCTGGTAAAAACCAAAAGGAAAACCACAAGTTTGCTGAAATATCTGTGAATATCTCAACTGTTGTTGTTGTCCTCCCCCCCCCCCTCTCT